AATAGAATTATCATATGCCCATGGGGATGATTTATAATGTTTGCCAATAAAATGATAGTAATGTTTCTAAAATTAACCAGAGATATTTGTAAATCATTAATATATGAATGGATTTTGAGCTCACACTTAGTCTAAGAACAATTGATTCTTATGGTGATGTGTCCTTTTTCGATACTAACCCTCATGAATGAATCACTAAAAATAGGAATGCTATAGCAAAGAGTGGTGAAGAAATCAGATGATGAACAACTATCAGAAAATAGCATCTGGCATTTTAAATGCTGGTTTTAAAATAAGCAGCCATCTAAGTGAGGTGTCAGCTGGATCCATATGGAAGAAGCACACCAACCTATATAATCCAAGAATTATAAATAATAAAATCTGAGACCTGAGGAGAGAAACATTATTAGAGCTTAAATCCTGAGCACCTAGTTTGCAGAAGGATATGGGTGACAGTGAAAGACCTAAATCCATTTGTAGGCCCCCAGGTGGATTAAGTGTCCTGTGAATTCCCTCTGACCTCAGACAAGGGATATGAATAGTCTTGCTATCAGATAGAATGAATTGGAAAGTGGATTATTGCAGGCACAGTTAGATTAAAATGCAATACAATACATATCATACTCCACTTGAGCCATTTTAAATTTGGTCTAGTTTTCACTAGTTTCTGTTTTTCTTTTCAAGTGAGATTTTTCTCTGTTTATTTTGTTATTGTTGTTGGGCTGTTTTGTATGTTTTCCTGTATATGAAACTCAGTAGGTAACTCTATAGAGACTGTATCCTGATTAATACTTTTTTAGGAATATAACAGGGGAGATTGGGAGAAGTGGGGGCGCTAACAACCACGAGTACAAGAAAGAAGAAATGTTCTGAAATTGATTGTGGTGATGATTATACACGTCTTTTCAAGATGCTTGAGCTACTGAGTTGTATGGTACATAAACTATATGTCAATAAGAATAATGCAGGTTTTTAGAATGAATAACTTAGAAAAGGACATGTTAAATTACTTGCATTGTGAGCCCCATCACCCATCCTGTTTGGGGTGCTTCTTCACACTTAGCTTCTGGAGTCTTGTTTTCTTTCCAAGGCAGGACATTGCAGAACAAGATAGGTCTGATCTTCTTGTCTGCACTTTGTTCACTTTGACCACGTCATCGGAAGCAAATTTAGAAACCTCTACTTTTTTAGACCATTAACAAGTCTTCTCTTCTCACAATGTGGTTGTTTGTTTCTCGTTACTGGTGGACCAAACTAATTGCCAGCAAAATAAAAAAAGTTGTCTGTATTTCTCCCTTTTCTAATTATGTAGAGTGATTTTGTTATAATTGAATTGCTTGTATATGTAGAAATTAAAATTCCACAAACTCCTTCTGAAGTATATATGGACGATTCTTGCCAGAATTTAGTGAACAGAGTTGAATGAAGACTCTCATATTTACAACGTGTTTTTATACCCCCTCTGCAGAAAAATATGACATTAGGTTGTTAAAATATGATGCTAAATACTTTACAATTTAGGGGACAACGTAGTTGACTCAGGAACTATGTTTGTTTTATGATTTTTAGTGCTGATACACTTACATCATGTAAAACATGAAATGTTTTACAGCTCAATCCCATTAAAGTATTATCAATAGAATTATTTAAAATACAGTGAATGCCTTAGTTGTAATAATATATAGCTCCTTTACACATCAATTCAGACTTTGTTTTAGTATTTTTCCAGGATTTTTCCACTTCAATTTCTTCCCCCTAGAACACGGGGTAAGTTAATTTATAGGGGAAACGTTTTTATGTATGGTGCCAATCGAGTACAAAATTACGTTGTGCACAGAGTGGTGAAGAAGTCTTTACCAACTCCCCTGACTAGAGGAAGTGTTTGGCAGTGCAGTTTATTAATCGCACAACACACACCCATGTTGGCACAGCGGAGCCCTCCTAACATGAGACCATCTGTCCTAAGCACATCATCTACGTGAGGCAGAATATGAATTGTTTAAATTCAATTCATTGCTAAAATTATGTTTAAATACGTAAAACAAGTTCTAATAGCATTGCTGTTATTATTGAATGAACTATAGTATGAGATTTTTCAGGGCTACCAGCAGTGGGTCTCTACATAGTCTGAATATTAGAATTTCCTGGGAGCTTTCAAGAAGCATCACTGTTTGGAACACACCTGAGAGTCCCCAAAGGTGGTGCTGTATTTTTCAGACGTCTCCTTCGAACTCTACCCAGTGATTAAGAGTTGACTGATCATTGGAACAATTTATTTCAGTCTTTGTAACTGCTAATATAGGCACGGTATTCAAATTGTCTTCAAATATGAGCCTCACATTCAGACACTCACATGTAGACAAGAGGTAAACGAGGAAGCAGAAGATGTGCACTGTTTGTTCTCTTGGAAATAGGAAGAACTGCCCATCGGCCCCACTGACGAGTGAAATCAGATCATAGCGTGAATTGCAAGACCCAGTCTTCTTGCTTGACTTCTTTAAAAGGATTGAAGTCCTAAGTTTACATTTTAATCATAAAGAGGAATATAGACTAAGTCAATCAGAAACGGAGTGGGTTGGGGAGGGTGGATTAGAGTGACCTACTTTGTTCAAAGTTGTGTCCCAGGGTCCGTAAGATAAATGGGCCCATATCAGGCACCACATGGGTAGTGGGTCACACACTGAGTTGCTGACTGCATGGTTAGCAGTTTGAAACGACCCGCCCTTGTTGGGAGAAAGGTGAAGCTTTCTACTCTGGTAAAGGGTTACCATCTCGGAAACCCACAGGGGCACTTCTACTCTGTCCTATGGGGTCACTGTGAGTCAGAATCAACTTTATAGCAGTGAGATTTTACAGCGGTTTTACATTTACAGAAAAATTATGTACCAAGTGTAAAGAGGGCTCACATATCTTATCTCTCTACTGCATGAGATTACTCTTTTTATTAAGACCCTGCATTGTCTGGTGCATTCAGTAAAGTGTGTTGGATGAAGAAATGACTCAGCGCTGGAAATGGTCTTGCAAATGTCTTGTTCTTTTATTTCGTTGCTGTGAATTTATTTGCAATTTAAAAAATGAACAAATACTAGACCTCATAAGTCAGTAAGTAGTGGCCCTGGTTCATCCTCCTTCACACCTAAACACTATGCTAACCACCTCCACATGTGTGGGAAAATGTGACACTCAAGTGCTATGTAAATATGTCATTAGCATTAGTTGCTTACTTTTCCATCTCTCTTGACACAACATCTAACTCAGGATCTGCATTCCAGTGAGCATGCATGCATTACAAATGAAAAAGGGAAAATACAGACTGAGATTGAGTTAATATGGAAGGTTTCTTCATGTAAATATTTAATAGTTTATATGATCCAAATAATCTCAAATCGTCTTTGACAACGCCCATTCCTACATAACAGCTGGGCTTGGACTGCATCAAACTTCTCTTCCTCTCATTCTTCCTTTATTAAAGTCATATTTCATGGAGAAACTGATTCTTTAATTGTCATTTTATTTTTGTAACTATATACATTCAAAATAATTTAGTTGTTATTTTAAGTTTCTGACAGCTAATATAATTTATTTACCTTCCGGTATATCAAACATTGTTGCATGTTCCTATTGTTCTGTTTCTATGGTAAAGCATGATTTTTATAGGAAAGTAGCCAATTTTATTTAGATAAATAATTTATATAACTACTGTCTTACTCTTAAACATTTAGTGTCTTTCTCAGGCCTCATTATTATAATCACAAGCAATAACCACCCTTATGCTATGGCTACTTCTGAGCTTTCTGACATGTATTAAAATAAATTCCAGATGGTGATCTTAGTGGGTCAAAGATTTTAAATGCTTCTTATGGTTCTTGGTTTGTATAAAATAGCTATTGAAATTTTCTATATTTGTTTTATGATCATTAATAGCATATTACTATAACAAATTCAGTAACTTACTGAAATAAATTTTTATTTTTAAATATAAAAGTAGATTTATATTTTTAAATTTAAGTCATCTATATAAGGAACACAAATATTTTCAGCAATGAGCACATTAGATAGAAAAATATTTATGTTAATGAAAAAATATCTAAACCAATCCAAACCAGACCTACTGCCATCGCGTTGATACTGACTTATGGAAACCCTGTGCAGTGTTTCCAAGACTGTAAAATTTTTAAAAATCATTTTATTGGGGGCTCTTACAGCTTTTATGACATTCTATACATCAATTGTATAAAGCACAATTGTGTATATGTTGCCATCATAATTTTCTAAAAATTTACTTTCTATTTGAGCCTTTAGTATCAGCTTCTCTTTTTCCCTTCCATTCCCCCCTCCCCCCCTCATGACCCCTTGATAAGTGATAACTTATTATTATTTTCATATCTTACACTGACCGCTATCTCCCTTCCCCCATGGTTTCTGTTGTTCGTCCCCCTGTGTGTGTGGAGGGGGGGCAGTGTTATGTGTCCATCATTGCCCTCCTCCCCACCTCCTCCCACCTTCACCCTGCCCTCTTGGTCTCACTACTCCTCCAAGACTGGAAGTCGCCACAGGAACAGATAGTCCAGACAATCTTATCTTTCTCCTCTAGAGCAGCTGGTGGGTTTGAACCTCTGGCTGGTGGGTTGCCAGCCTAGTACTTACCTAATGGCGCCACTTACTTTCTAAGTAACTAGTGCATATTAATTTAAAGTTCATAAAATTCAATTAGTGAATTGTGCACAGTGATTTAGGTATTTATATTTCACATGTTAATAAGTACTCACTTTATTGTGCCTGCTGAAAGCAAGCGCATGAAGAATGCAGTATGCTGGTATATCATCATATATTTGCAAATATAAAACATCATGTATACCTCAATTATAGGCTATTTTAATTTTATCTCTATCATTTTTTTCTAATTAACCACAATAAGTGTAACATCAAGATTGATTGTCCTCTACACATTCTTCCACATAATCAAAATAACCATGTTTCTTTTTTCTATTTTTTTAAAGGAGATTTACCAGTGGTGTGGTTCTTCATGTAACAAATATGAGCGTCTAAAGGCCAGCCAGGTTGCCATTGGCATTCGGGACAATGAAAGGAAAGGAAGATCGCAACTAATTGTGGTGGAAGAAGGAAGTGAACCACCAGAACTTAAAACGGTATTGTTGTGTGTGTGTGTGTGTGTGTGTGTGTGTGTGTGTGTGCACGCGTGCGTGCGTTTTCCAGGCTGTAAACTTTACAGGAGCAAATTGCTCGGTAATTTCTTCCCTGGAGCTACTGCTTAATCCCTGCATCACCAAGGTGCCTACTTTCTCTACACATGTGTGAGCGTCAAAGTATTGCTATAAAATCACAGAAGAGCTTTATGAAACAAAATGTCAAGACGTGAAGGTTGTTTTTTCAATATATCCTCCATCTAGGTCTGTTCGCCTCAGAGGGTGATGTTTCCATCTCTCTGTCTCTTCCCTGAAGAATTGTGCAATCTTCTATTTGCACACACGACAGTGCCTTTTTTGGCATCTCTGAGGGACTCCCATCATGTTCCTTTGAAATGTCTTTGAGTTTGGGGACCAAAAAAATTCTGAAGGTACAATATCTGGATTGTAGGGTCCATGGGGTGAGATTTCCCAACGAAATGCTGTGCTGGAAAATTGAGCAAGTACTGTTCATGGGAAAAAATATATGTATTTGGAGCAACTCTCCCAACTTTTTTCCCCATCAAGACAGTTTTCAATTTTCTTAAAATATCTTTATAAAGCCCTGAGATGGCCCTGTGTCCTTTGAGAAAATCTGTCAACGTTACTTTATAGAACAGTTCCTTGGGGAATCCCAAGGAACTGTTCTATCGCACTCGGAGTTGCTCTGATTTGGACTCGCCCAGCAGCAGACCTTCCCGGAAGCCGCTGTGTTGCTGTGCTCTTATTTTGAAGGCGAAGACCAGTGTATCGATTATGTGAGAGCCTGTTTGTGGCCAGCCCTGGATCACAGAGACTGCTCAGGCACGTGTTGTTTGGAATACATTTGTGCACATGTGAACTGAGACCCCACTAGCAATGCTTTTTAAAAATTACTTTCATCTATGTAGACATACACATAGGTGTACAACGTGTATGCACACACATATATTGCATGTTATTTGTAATACAACAAATTCTCTAGTATTGGACCTCGCCCCAGGAGGATCTAAATCATGAAACTAGGAAAGTAGAAAGTCACAACAGTTTTCTCATATATTAGTATTGCTGTCAAAGGAAGCCATGCATTGATCTTCTGTGGTATGCAAAGACAGATGGGTAATACTTTGAAGTTGACTTTAAGAGTATATTTCAGAAGGAAGATAGTAGCTTATTTACCTGAGTTTCTCAGGGTGGTGTTGTTGTTGTTTTCAGAAACTATAGCAATTTTCTTTTATTTTAATAATTTCATTTAAATAATGAAATAAAGTTTTTCACTAAGAGATTGAACACACTAACAATTTTGTTCAAATCCACAAATATTTCAAAAATTTGCCATCAAGAGTTACCAGCAAGACACTTAACGATTTTCAGTATAGTTGCTAAATTAATTTATAATAAGTTTCCATCACTCCCTGTATCTACATGACTTGCTTATGGATACTTAGTTGTCACTGTTCAGACATCAATGAGTGTCCTGGTATACATCTTTACTGATTGTGATCACAACTAAATTACTTTAATAACCACCAAGCACATTTTTTTCATATTGATAATGTGTTTATGTGTTAGAGATTATTTGAATTCATTAGGAATGATACTCATGGTAAAATGATAAGAGAAAGAGTAGGTTATACAATTTACATATAAATATGATCTTACTATGGAATTTTGCATGTTTATAACTACTTAGTCACATACACATATATTTAGAAATAAATAAGCTGAAATCCCTCTAGTACTTATTTTTAATTCTTAGGAATATGACTACTTGTTATTTTTTTGATTTTCAAAATTTCTTATAATGGATGCATCTTTTTCTATTAAAAATTTACATTTGGGATGGACTTAAGTGGGTTTTCAAAAGGCAGTAAATTAGACTTTGAAAGCTATTCAAATAAAATTCTAGATCACTCCAGGTTTTCTGAAATTCTTTGTTTAATGTGATCAACTATTTAAGTCTACTAACTTGCATACTTGGGATTAAAGTAAAAAGATTATTTGAATTGATTGCAACCCTATAACTTTCTGATTCAAATGAGCCCAGGAACAAGATCTTTCCCTGAAAAGTGGTGTGGAGGGAGCTGTTTTGCTACCACTCTTTTGGACGAGAGCCGGTCTCTTCATCAATTCTGCTCTCTGTTCCTCGTTCAGGAGAGTGTGTGGTTCTACCACATCTCAGCCTGGCCACTGTGTCATTGCCGTTTGACACTTTTGTCATTTGTTCCAGGAAGTGGAGACGCTGTGGTTGAGGGTTTCGCGAAACAAGCTCACATGCACACATTTTTTTTGTTGTTTATTGGACTTCATTTAAAAAGCTGAGTAAGATAGACTACCGATAATATATTAGGTTGTTAAAATATGATGCAGACCAGAAGAAAATCTATGTTAAAGTGTAACTTTGATGTTACATTTCTTATTAAACATTTATACTAACCATTTGTATTAAAACATAATATTAAAAAATGCCCATGCTTTAGGATTGTTCATCTTTTGAGGACTTTAAAAAATCCTAGAAAATACAGATAAGGCTTGCTTTTTCATTTATGCTACTTCACTTTTACAAAAGACCTACTGCTTTTGTATCTGTCTTCGCTAACTGAAAAATGTCCTAAGAAGATTTTCCCTGTTACTGCACAGCTAAACTACTGTTCAGCACTTATTTTGCTATTACCGAAGCAGTCTGCAACCATTGACATGGTCCCGCTCTGGGAACAACACTCAGCGTCTCAGCATCAGGTCCCCACAGCATTGAGATGTCTGTGGACACTAGATGCCACTGTTATTTACATTTCATGTGTATGTGAACGACTTGGTAACTTATTTTGGGGTCTGGGAATGCTCAAAACTCTTTTCCCATATAAATGAAAGGGAGTTGCTTACAGCTTTACACCATCCTGGCTTACAAAGGATTTCATAGGAATGCGCTATTTTGATGGCAGGGAACACCTGTACTTACTTTGCTTTAATTCAGTATTTTCATTGTGTGTACTCTGTTATGCTTACGGGTCCTCCACTCAATGAACTGAAATGAGTTTTCAGTGGCAGTCTTCACTAGATGTAGGAAAGAAGTATTTGAGCTTTGTTTTTGGTTTTTAGTTAACTAAGCTAGAAGGTAACGTAGTTGTTCATGATTTTGCTATGTACTTATGTTAAACTAAGGAACCCTGGTGGTGCAGTTAAGCATTGGGAGGCTAACTGCATGGTTCATGGTTCAAACCCATCAGCCGATAAGGCCTCAGAAAAATCTATGTATAGGGTCACTAATACTAGCCCTGTTTGAATAGTGGTTATACCTTAGGCTGCTAACCTTAAGGTCAGCCATTTGAAACCACCAGCCCCTTCGAGGGAGAATGATGAGGCTTTCTTCTTTCATAATGAGAAACAACACAGGGGCAGTTCTACCCTGTCCTGTAGGATCTCTATGAGTCTGAACTGACTCAATGAGGATGAGCTTGGGAGTTTATGCGTCGAGTGGACTCAAGGACTGTGGGTTATTCTCAACTAATTTTAGGTCCAGAATTTAATTTCAATTTGAAATATAAAAATAAAACACAGATTTTATTTATATACTTTAACTTTCATTGTGGTTTTGGTGACGTTTTACAGAGAAAATTAGTTTTCCTTACAACAGTTTATACCAATTTTGTTTTGTGACATTGATTGAAATCCCCACAATGTCATAGCACTCTCCCAATTGCTTCTTATATTTACGCTTTCTAGTAATTCTTATCTCCTGCCCCTTCTAGCTTCTGAACTCTGTTTTGGGGCAACTGTTGCCCTTTTAGTCTTACATGGTTGATTGCTCCAACCCTCTTGTTATTGTTTACTGTGTAAGCCTATATTATTGTACAAGCCAGCCTTGGCTGCGAGTAGATCCTCAGCGAGGATAGGCTCAGTTTTAAGCTTGAATGGTGCCTAAGGACCACAGTCTGAACCCTGGTCTCTATCACAGAAGTTTTTTTGTTTTGTTTTAATCAATTTGCACATTTTCTCCCATTCTGGGCAGGACCTTGTATTGTGATCCAGATCAAAGAGGTGGGAGTGGTCCTGGGGCACCATCTAGTTCTTCTCGTCTCAGAGTAGAGGAGGCTATGGTTTGTGTGGCCCATTATACTCCTAGAGTAACTGCTTCTTTAAGACTTTGCTTTTTCCTTTCTCCTCTTTGCTTTAGATGGGGAGAGATAATAGTTGCATTTTAGATGGTGTGGCTGTTTTTGAACTTCTAAGACCTTAGTCATTAATCAAAATGGATGTAGGACATTGCTTTCTAGGGACTATGTTATGCCAATTGACCTAAATGTGCCCTGTGCCTTTGTTCCTAAATCTCCAATCTGACTCAGTCATTCCCTCAAGATGTATAGTTGTGGCTGAGAAGTTTTCAAAACTTTGCTCACTGTGTGCTTTAGTATATTTTTTGGTATATTTGCAGCTCATATAAACACATATGTGAAAGTGTTCTCTGCCAAACCTATAGATCTCGAGTGTACTCCCATTTACCAACATGTTCAGCTTTCAAGAATCTACTCGTAGATTACTGTTTATTATTATTGTTATTGCAGGATTGGTTGTGTAATAGTATTCACCTTTGTTGTTTTATTCTCTCGTGTTTTTTCCAGTGCCTTCCTTTGCCTACATGATGTGCTGTCCTCTCCCGTATTGTACCTTGCGCTTCCCTTCACCCGAGTTAGTACACGTGTCCTCTCTAGTTAGTGATTTCCCCCCTCCTTTCCTCTCTCATATCTTGTTACCATCAAAGAATGTTTCTTTCTTCATGTAAATATTTTCTTGACTTTTTCTGATTGCGCTTTTTAAAAGCTCAGGGCCCAACTATGAAAATAATCCTGTACATGGAACTTACTAAAGCCTGCAACTAACTTCACCTTACACTCAGTGTTTGTTTTCTCATCGTTGTAAACATATTAACTACGAAAATTGTATATAAATTATGTATAACTTTTTATATTGAAAATAAATAACCAATG